AATGCCCATTAATTATTTTTGAATTAATTTTAAGTTAAAATAGTTTTGAATTAAATTTAAGCTAACGTGAGTTTTATTCGTTTAGTATTTATCTCTAAACCCATCTTCTGATTAAGTGGTTAACATACATTTTGGTTAATTTGTTTATTTTCTTGTTTATCTATAAAAAAAAAAATTGAGACCGAGGAAGTGAAATTGCCAGCTATCCGTGTTTAACAAGCTTCCTGAACACTCTATACCGCCACCTAGTGGGAGATAAGGCTCTGCAGCCCTCAAGCCCGTTCGCACTTGAGGAAGAAACAGGGTCTCTGTTCAGAACCCTGTCAGGAGCGGTGGTAGTTGAGGGGTCGGGAGGGGAAACAGTAGAGGATATGTGTTCTCCTCTGATTAGTCCAACGCTGCTGAGGGTGATTGCCTCCTAGTCCTTTGCATAATAGCAGAGGAGGCCGCCTTTGTGTTTTTTTGATCAAGGCCATCATAAGTTGGGTGATGGGGTTCACTGTGGTTCTATTTGTGGGTTAGTAATTTAGGCTGTGGGATAGTCCCATCAGAACAATGCAGCTTTTAGAGGAGAAAAGTCACGGTTTTATTAGTGTAAGTGCTACACACACACACACACACACACACACACACACACACACACACACAGAGCACTGTTTCACTGCTTGCTGATTTCTGGTCCTGTCCCGCCTGCCTGGCAGCGCCTTGCTCCAGCGCACTGCCAGCGGCTCCAGAGAGAGTCCTTAATACACAGCTGCCCTTGACTCTGCAGGAGGGCAGCCACGGCCCCCCCCACCCACCCACCCGCTCAGCCTGTGATGGTGACTACTGGGGCTTTTCATCAAAGATGACTTTATTTCTTCATAAGCAGGACTGACAGTCAAGGTTCTGAGGCCCCTGCAGCTGTCAGATTCCCCTGCCTTCAGTTGCCCTGAATTGTTTCTTTTCTCTTCTCTCCTGGCCAATTCTCTGAGCACATTTGTGAGTTCCTTATGGCTCCCCTTTCTTCCCCCAAACACACACCAGCACACACACGGAGATACATGCACTTGAGGGCTCTGGCCTAGATCTCTGTTGGAAAGTGGCTCTTGAGGAAATCAGGGAAAATCCATTGAAGTCGTGGCCCGAGAGAATCCCCGGGGCTGCCTGACCCGTAGGCTTTGTTGACACTAGGCCATTTGGAATGAGCTGAAGGATGAGGCAAGTCTCCCTACCGTCCATCCAACAATATCTCTCCAGTTGGCTTCTGAAACTTCCACATAAATAGAGAAATATTGTAATTCCCAAACCAGAAATTAGGACTCATGTCTGACAGGTTATTAGAAAAATAGGGCAGAGCTGTTCTGGCAAGTGTGGAATGAATGGTCACTCAAAAATAGATAACATCTCATATTCCAGCTGAGATCGTGGCAGAGGCTGCTTGCTTGGAACATTACTGAGAAGGATTCTGGGGCCTCATCTGGATTTAGTGCCGGGGGTGGGGGATAATGGGGGGCTGTCTCAGGAAGGTCTGAGCTAGTCAGGGCTGAGCTAGTGGGAGTGCTACAGCACTGGTTTTGCATGCGGTGCAATTACTATTACCTGTTAACATCCTGGTGTGAATTAAATTGTTAGATGCGCTGCCCAACATGGCTCAGGGCTCTAAGGGAATAGTCACAGGATGGGCAACATTTCTTTGTGACTTGTTTTTTTAAGTAAAATTCGGACAACATAAAATTCGCTATTTAAATCATTTGAAGGTATACAGTTCAGTGGCTTTTAGTATACTCCTAAGATTGTGCAACATTACCACTCTCTAACTCTAGAATTTTTTCATCATCTCCCAAAGAAATCCTGTACCCATTAAGCAGTCACTCCTGATTCTCCCTTCCCCTTGGCCCCTGGGGACCACTAATCTGATTCTTGTCTTTATGCATTTGCCTATTCTGGATATTTCCTTTAAATGGAATTGTATAATATTTGTCTTGATCTGGCTGCTAAGTGTTTCAACGTTCATCTGTGCTCTAGCCTGTGTCAGTTCCTTTTTCTGACTGACTAATATCACACTGTATAGATACAACACATTTTGTTTACCATTCATCAGTTGACAGGGCATTTGGCTTGCTTTCACATTTTGGCCATTGTGAAAAATGCTGCTGTGAACATTCATGTTCAAGTTTGTGTTTGAACACCTGTTTTCAACCCTCTTGGGTGCACGACTGAGATTCCCCCCACCCTCTGTGACGATGATGGATCCATCAGACGCTGTCAGATAGGTGAGTTTTGCTAAGCAGGAAAGAGCTGGAGTTTGGGTGCTGCATGGATGAGGCCAATGAGGGCAGGGTGCAGAGCACCTTGGGTGTGCTGTGGAATCCCAAGGGTAAAGAGTCTCTGGAAAGGAGGGCAGGAGAGGGAGGAGCCAGCGCCAAAATGGGATGGCAATGACCTTGAGCTTGGTGGGTGGAGGAGGAGTGGGGTTTGTCCTGAGTTTATAAAATGGCTGCTGATATTTTTCTGTTTTATTATAAGGCAGGGCAGACTCCCTGGTGGGGATGAAAAGATGAGCTGGGTGAGGGCCAGAGAAAAGGGAATGTGGCGATGGTTTTGGCTGTGGATGCATTTTTGGCAGAAAGAAGGAAAGCTTGTTGAGCTGCCTGTTGATGCAAGATGACAAAATTGGTAGAGCAAGTTTGAGCACAACAAACTAAAGAAAGGGCCCCTCTTGTAGCAGTAATGCTGCTGTGCATTTCTATGGTGAGGGACTGTTTTCTAAAGCAACTTCCTATCTATAAGCTCATCAGGGTGAATGAATCAGGCAGAGCAGGCACTGTGGTTTTCTGCCTTTTGAATAGGACATGAAGGCATCCAGCACAGTGCCTGGTGATAGTAGGCATTCAACCAGGATTTGTCAAATAAGTGAGACAGTCATATCAAGTCAAAGAACATCAGAGCTGGGAGGGTCTTGGAGATCATCCAGAAGCTTTCCCCCCAACCCATTTTTGGAGAGGGAAGGATGTTGGGGCAAAGTGGGGAAGTTCTGGGCTTTAATGCAAGGTCAATTGGTCAGTGAGTGAAGTTCCCTGGGCCACATGCTCCTGTGGGGTAGGTGGAGCTTCTGTCAGATTTATTTGTGTCCCCAGGATGTAGTATAGTGTTACAATTTGTTCAACAGATGAACAGGAATTGGAAGCTCTTTGCTCTCCCTGGGTCTCTGCTCCTTCTCATTCTGCCACAGCTTTTAGTGGCAGAGCCAGGTCTCAGTCACAGTTTCCAGGCCCTAGGAGTCTTTGGACTACATCACAATATCTATCCTCATCAAGGTAGGTGACACTAGATATACTGGGTAGCTTTCTTGGGGCTTGTTAGGCTTCCTGGGATGATCCCCACTGTTTTGTTGGTATGGAAGTATCTAGAAGCTGAGGGAAAGGAGCTTTCCTTAGTTAAAAGCCTAAGGCCAGTCTAGCCACTTTCCGTGGGATCTCAAGGGAATCCTGTGCACCAGGAGGTTCTGTCCTTTGCTTTGTTGTCTGGGTCCCAAGCAGAGGCAGTCTGGAGCCAGTGCCTTGGGGCAACTGTGCCCTTCAGAGTGGGACCTAACAGCAATAGGGGCAGGCACAGGTGATGGACTTTCAAGGCCTTCTGAAACAGTTCCTTGTGTATCTTGCTTTGCTTTTCCTGGGCACTTCTCGTTGTTCCTGAGCACATATTTGAGGCAAGGCAGAGGAGGTCTCATATGGGCCCTTGCTGTGCCTCCACACTAGGTGTGGCCAGCCTGTGAATGGCAGGAGGCAGGTAGCCGGTCCACTGAGTGGAGGGTCTGTCTGCGGGCACAGAAAGAGGGGAGCAAGGGAATTACACTAGGGTGTGCACCGTGGTGTGGGCTTCGGGGTCAGTCTTTGGTCCTTTGCTGCTGCCCAGTGCTGAGCAGCCCCTATGGGATTCTTCCCACCTGAGCCCTCCCCTTCCTTAAGATCCTTATGTTGGACCCTGTTACCACCTCCTAAGCATGGGATTAGCTGGACATCCCTGGCTCATTCTTCCCCCATCCCATGCCAGAGAGAGTCATAGTGTGCAGAATGTAAAGGGACCATATCAGAAGCTAAGTGTCAGATGATGGCCATGTCACTGGCAGCTTGATTCCTTCTGATTTCAAAGCAATTTCCACACAACCTAGGGGCAAAGCCAGATGGTCTTGTCACATGGGTAAGATATCCAGGGACCAGGGGGTCTTCTTTCCTTTGTATCCCTCATGACAAGAGGCCGAGGGAAGGTCTGATGCTCAGAAGTCACCTGGGCAGCCTTAGGTGCCCCTGTGAGGGGGCTGGTGGCCCAGGGAGGGTGAGAGGCAGCCTTGGCATCCCCCTGAGGGGCCAGTGCAAGTCCTGCAGCCTCATCAAGGCAGGGAGAATGGGGAGAGCCTTTTTTTCCCATCTCTGCTGAAGTTGAGTCACTCCTCGGTCCTCTGAAGTAACATCATCTGCCCCAAGGGGCGCAGCGGGACGTGAGTGGAGGCACGTGGCTGTGCAGGTTTGGATGCAGAAGGATGACATTGTGCTGCGGTTCTGAGGGTGGCCTCCTCGTGGGAGTGGGCGGGAGCTCCCGCGTGGGCAGGGGAACCTGTCTTGTCAGAGTGCGCTTCTGTAACGACCGAGGTTTGGTTCTTCTTCTCAGTGGGAGGTTGACAAGGAAGCTGATTCTCCAAGTGGCCTCTCTGGATCGTGAAACAGCCCGTATATGGGAGCGTTCAAGGGGGTGCTGCCCGGGCTGGGGGTGGGGTATAAAGATGAGTCTAAGCCCTGTGGTGAGAGGCAGCTAGGGACTGTCTCCCAGACAGTTGCTGAGGGTCACATCAGGGAGAATGGAGGATGACAATGGGAAGGGTCCCTATAACTAAACCTGGTTCGTTCCTGTCTTGTCACAAGCCACTCTGTTTCATGACATTGTCTTGTCCCACTTCCAACAGACAGCTGTGAGATGGGAATGGTTCCCACACCCTCCTGCCCCACGGCCAGTACACTCACCTGCACCAGGTCCGGCGTGAGGCGCTTGGCCTGCAGCCACTTCTGGAACCTCCCTGTTTTCCGCAAGACGCGCTCAATGCTGCAGGTGTTTGGGGCTGCTGCAGAGGCACAGATTCTCCTGTCTGAGATCTCACTCTGCTGTTTGCCGACCAGCCTCGAGAGCTCCACAGGGCGCCAGGTTTTGGAATCATCAGAGTAATTTGCAGGGTAAGAGGGCAAGTAGTCAGGAGGCAGTCCAAGGCGGGAGGCCAGCTGGATGTCAAACCTGGAAGCATAGCCTTTTTAGGATGGCTCAGGAGCTGGAGGGATGAGGCAGGGGTCAAGCAGGGACTAGCCAAGCTGTACTGCCAGAGCCAGAGCCAGCAGAGCCTGGAGACAGGGAGGCAGGGGACAACATCTGGTATGATCCATTTCTCCCCCTTAGACTGGGGTGCTTCAAACTCTTTCTGTGAGAGGACTATTTTTGTTTCCTCACACTTAGGGAAGTGCATATATGATGTCAGAAAGGTAAGGGAGGTACACTCCAGACACAAACTTTATCCTCTTCACGCAGCTGGCACAGAAGGAGTAGCCATGGCTTTCTAACTACTCCGTGTGACGACAGCAACTTTACACATGCTGGTACCTTTGATTCTCTTAATCCCCTATCCCCACTTCACAGATGTGGAAACTGAGGCTTAGAGCTTAAGTACCTTGGTTCAGGTCAGACAATACGTTGCCAAGCCGGTGTGCAAATCTAGGGTCCTCTGTCAGTTAAGCCCATGACCTTTCCCCTTTCTTACACTGGTTCCAGCAACTGCCCACCCTCTGACCAATGGCTGGGTCTTGGAACCATAGTTCCTGAAGAGACTTCTGGGCCTGTGTTGCGGAGAGCACTGCCTCTCCATATCCAGTCCCACATGGCCCCAGTGTTTTTGCTTTCAGTTCAAAGCTTTAAGTCATCAGTACCAACCAGGTCTCCAGGAACAGTGGCTGCTGAATGGTCACCAAGTTCAAAGCTATCTGAAATCCAGGAGGTGTGTAATTCCACATAATGGCCTGGTTGGTCCTTAATCCTCTCCAGGGGATGGGCACTGGCCCCTAGTACCATCTGCCAATTTCCAAGAACCCACTTTGACCCTTTCTCCAGTTATTCCACCACCAGTATGCTGACATTCCCATTAGGTAGTGTTAAATCTTCTGATTTATGTATGAAAAATTATTAAGGTAATGTTTACCTTCATTATCATTGATAACTGAGGATCATACTACAAATGAAGATTAGTCTTGTCAGGTATGTTATATATTTAATTTAAATAAGAATCTTTACATTCTTATTATTGGGCATTATTGGACAACCTCATAATAATGAGTTTTGGAAGAATTAGCATTTTGATTAGCCCTAAATGCTAGATTGTTTTGTATTCTCCCTTATATGACACAGCTTTATTCACAGAGACTGCAAGCTTTTCAAAGAAAGTGTTCTAGCAGAAACTGTTAATAAACACCTTCTGCAATGCAGCAAGAACTCTATTCAAGAACACTGTCACAAATCTATTTTTTAAGAAGACAGAATACTGTAAACTAGCAATGACTCAATTTTACTGGAATTTTCAGGACAGCTATGGGAAATGACCCTCCCAGCTGGGAGGATAAGGAAGGGCCCAGGTCTCTGAGGCAGGCCTATCTGCCTGTTTCATGCAGCTGCTCTTGCTCATGGGGGTTCAGCCCCACCCCCAAGGCCTGTGACTAAGTACTTCTAAGTAGGTGGCTCTGTTAGATAACGATAATAGCAACACACATTTATGAAACACGGCAGCATGCCAGTAACCCCGCTAAACACTACATGTATTAATTCAGTTACACCTTTCAACAAACCCATGAGGTTTGTGTTGTTGTCACTATACAGATGAGGGAACTGAGGCACAGAGAAGTTAAGTGATTTTCCCAAAGTTGCACAACAGGGAATTAGAAGAAGTGGCATTCAAGGCTCCTGGACCTGCAAATCTTAACCACTCTGCTGTTGCTTAGACCTCCATCATCTATCTCATGAATTAGTTCTTGGGAACAGATTAGTGACATTATTAAGGGTTATAGTTAGCAGGGTCCTTAAAGATTATTTTGTCCCTGCTCCCCTCCCCATCATATTCTGAGGATGAAAAAACTGAAGGTGACTTGTCTGAAGAGTCATAGTTAGTGGCAGGGGGGACAGATCTCAGGGATGACTGTCTCCCAGTTGGTGGGGGTGACGCGGGAAGTGACTTCCTGTCCAATGGGACGAGCTCCTTGTCCTTTGATTCTGTCCCCACCTCCCGAGGAGGCTCTGCTAAGGGGGCAGCGCTGACTTGGCAGGTGCCCTGTAACACATGCCTGGTGCATTCAGCAGTGGCTCACTGTATGCCATTAGGACCAAGTGAGGACAAATAAATAGGTTTACAGGCCACACTTCTCCCCCATTCAAAATGGTAATACTTTTATGGCACTGTATAGGAAAAAACGCATTTTCTTACAATTTTGATTACCTACTTTACTGGATAGAAGAATGTCAGGGAGAAAATGGGCCCTGCTTTTTGTCCACTAAGATGTGAATATCCTAGAATTTGGAAAACCACACAACAGAGGCAGCATTCTAATCTTCCTTCTGAACTTACGTCATGGGCACGTCTGATGCGGGGCTGGCCGAGTTCCTCACTGGGTTGAAAGATGGAAAGCCATATCATGGTTTCCCAGAGCCAGAAGGCAGCCTAAAGATGGTGTGGGCCAATCCCCCAAGCCCCTCAGCATGGGGAGCAGGGTGGGGACATGGGGGAGAGTGACAGCACTGGAATGAGAATAAAATGCCCTCTTCTCTTGTACACGTCTCATGCTGGTATCCAGTCCAACACTAAGTCCATAGACATGCCTTCCTAAATATTTTTCACCTCTTTCTCCTCTTCTCCATCCCTTAGCTCTGCCCAGAACCCTTCAAACATCCAGCATCTTCCTAAATCTCTCAGGACAGAGTTCATACTCCTTAGAGTGTGCTCTAATGCCCTACTGCTCTTTCTAGGTCCATCTTCTGCGGCTCTCCTGACAAGTTGGTTTTGGTCTCACCAAACTGCTGACCAGCCTTGGCTAAGCCACTTCATTTTCATTTTTCAAGGAAGGCGAAGTAAGGCATTTGTCCTGGTGAGAGCCCAGGAATCCCTAGGAGTGATTCTGAACAGAAATACTGTCACCAAGTACCCCTCCCCACCGTTACCTGAACAAACACAAATACTGATCCATCAGGTCCTGGTAGACCTTGCCAGTTGGTGTGATCACTTAGGATTTCACATGCAGGTATATTTCCAGGAGGAAGAATGTGTCAAAGAGGTTTACTTATTTTTTTAGCTCCCCTCAACTTTTTCATTTGGGATTTGTAAGTGAACATGGAATGCATGGAAACATTGATACTGAAAACTTTCAAATGTTCAAGGGTCAGTGGTTGAGTATGGGAAGCATTAGATTCATCGTTAGCATTCTTGCCAAAGAAAAGATAAAGAACAGAAGGAAAGGTGACATTTGTCTACCAGTCACATGAATTCAGCCTACCCAGCCGCCTCGGAAGCTCACCCTGTTTGTTGCTGAACAACAAGCATTGCCCAATCCTGAGTGGGGTCCAGGCCTGGAGTGCTCATGTCTGCCTGGCTACAGCATTTCAGCCAAACATCTGAGGTTGGGATGGGCTTTCTTGTACGTTACCATCATAATCATTTTTAAAGATGGAGAAATGTTTGCATATGAACAAGAACAAGATGAACAAATGCACCATTAGAAAGAGAGGCAAAGGATGTGCACTTGTAGACAATTTAGCTATAAAGAAATATAAATGGCCAATGTGCATGAACAAAGGGCTTAACTTGGAAGATATACAAACTAAAAACAGCAGTAATATTAAATATTTGTGAGCATGCAGGAGGTGGGTGCCACAGGCAGGCGTCTCCATGTGGGGATATATATTTGTATCTACTGTAACTTTGTTATATTTTTTGAGCCAGAAATTCCACTTTTAGGAGTTTGTCATAGGAGTTTACCACAGATGTGCACAAAAGTTTAACAACAGGGATGTTCAGCAAAGCACTCTTTACAATTCTGAAAAATGAAGTAAAAAAACCCTAGTTGTCTCATGATAGTGGATTAGTTAAATGAATTATGATTGACTGATGCAGTTGGATACCACAAAGCCATTAAAAATCAGACTGTGGAGAAGGATAGTTAATGTGGAAAGGTGTTTCTGACAGATTATTAAACTCAAGTTTACAGAAGAGTATACATAGGATGATTACACTTTTGTTGAGAAAATGCTTAGAGAAAAGGTGGCAAGGATAGACACAAATGTTCACTAAGGGGAGGTCTCTTAGTGGAGGATAAAATTGATTTTTATTTTGGGCTTTCTTTAATCAGTAGCTCCTGAACATTCTAAAGTAAAAAGATATTGCTTTTAAAATGAGGAAAAAATTACTTATAATGTGGAGAAAAGGGCTATAAGCAAGCCCACATCCCCAGACCCTCTCAGTGCCTGTGTGCCTCTTTGCACTGAGGAATACGCATTCTCACCATGAAGCACTCCCAACCCCAGCCTGCCCCGATGGGTGTTTTCCTGCTTCATCTGCACACTTCCCTATCAGACGCATATGGAAATGGAATTCTGAGGGAGCTGAAGTCATATCCTGAGTTCTAATGTAACACAAAACTATTTGGGGAAATGCCTCCTGAATTTGGCCGATACCTGCCTGGTGAGAAAAACTGTTCATTGCCACTTGGTGAAGAGTCAACTGCGATTCACATACTCTTGCTTACGTATCTGGAGGAGGATGTGAACCTGGAGCTCCTTCTCAGTCGAATCCCTTCATTTGCCTCCCTCCTATCTTAAAATATGTCCGTATTCTCACTGCCTTCTTTCTCCAAGGAATCAGCCCCACGTACCCTGTGTTCTCGATCCTCTCCATCCCATTTCTGAGGTGGGAAGCCTGAGTTCACTTTCAACATCTCTATCTTGGCTTCCTCTTACACTGATTTGGTCAACAAAACAACTCTCCAGCTGAACCAGCTTGCGTCCTTCCTGTTCCTAGTGACCTTTCTCCCAGACTAGGGGAACTGGTCTGGCAGCCCCTGCCAGCATTACCAGTCCATGCTGCACACTGCTTTCCATAGATCTTTCCAAAATGCAGGTCTCATCTTATCCCTACCCCACTTAATCCCCATGCCATCGCCTGCAATGAAACTTCTCCAACTGGGGGAAGGGGGGTCTTTCAACTTTCAACATTTGAAATGTCTTTTAAAAAGCCCTAATAGGGAAATTCCATCAACTCCATACAACATCTACCACCTTGCAAAAGAAGTTCAACATTTTTTGATTGATATTGTTTATTTGTTATTTCTGTTCAGTTACTTAGTTGAATAATCAATCATGTCTTTGGTTAATATGGATTGGAAATAAAATGATTGTAAATTAGTGCCTTTTGTTCGGTCACCAAATCTTACATGCCTGAGGTAGGTCCCTGGGGGAGAAGAGGTCTATTACAAAGGGACTTTGGCATTGAAAAGGCTGGGAACCACTGGCCTACAGTTTAAGGTCTCAAATCCTTGGCATGGCATTCAAGGCCCCCTGCCCCATCTTACTCTTCCAACTTCCTCCTTCTGGCACACTTCCACTTATGCCTGAAGTGCTTCTTACTTCTTTGCACAACTCTAGGCCTTTGCTTAAGCTGGTCCTTCTACCTTAAACCTTTCCCTTCCCGCTAAGTTTCAGCTCATCTTTTAAGGCCTTGTCCAGAATACCTTCTCCTGGAGAAGCCCTTCCCCAATCTTATTTTGAATTAATATACCCTCCCTGGAGCTCCTGGAGGTCCTTTACACTTCACTTCCAGCCTGCACCATACCAGGCCTTATTATTATTTGTAAAACAGCTCCCTCCTCCTGAACCCCTAGCGGGCAATGACCAGTTATGCAATGTCACTACAGCCCCTGCTGGGGTTTGGCCATGGTAAACACCCCATGACTGTGTACTGACTGGCTTGAATTCCACAGTGTGGTACCATTCTTTGGTGAGAGCAATGAGCATCCCAATTTACTAAACCTGGGTTTTCCTCCAGTCAAGGCAGCACTAACAGCAGAAAACTAGTTTGGAAACTGAAGCAAACTGCCCTGGCTTAAGTCCCAGTTCTGCCACTTATTAGGTGGTGGCACTTAATCTTGCTGTGTCTCAGTGCACTATCTGAATAATGAGTGCAAACCACTAACATCCAAGATGGTGGTGAGGAGTAAGTAAAAATAGTTTTAAAATGTCTGTCTTGGAGTAGGCTTCATAAATTTTATTTCCCTCCCCCTGTGAGAAATAAACTTGGTACAAATAGTCCCAGGCCACTCCATTCATAGAAAAGAAAACTTGGAGTTCCCACTTGGAAAGGAAACTTTAGATTTAGTTTTAGGGCTGGAATCTGGCTTCACACCTCACCCCCTCCCTACCCCAACTTCAACCCATCACCACTATGAGAAAATGGCTGTGTTTCAGCTCCCACCCAAAAATTACATCCTGGCATATTTTCAACAAACTCCCGGACATCTTCAGATACAGGGACAGAATTTTGCCCCTCAGAGTTATCTGATTGAGATTCTGACCTTATTTCTTCTTTAAAGAACTTCTTGCAAATAGATGTTCCGATGCAGGCATTGCATTTATCAAGACCGAGGAAAGTCCTTCCGGAATTGTAGCTGGTTCGGTGTTGGGGCACCAGAGAAGGAGAGGGAGAAGCCAGCGAGGAGACAGAACAGCTCAGTGTTGAGACCCACAGCAGCAAGGCTGGCCCGCCTGGGCACAGGGCAGCAGTCTTAGACTGCAGGCCGGGCTCCATCTCAGGCTCTGGACTCCAGGTGCAACCTTTGGCTGCCCACTCAGGGCCGTACGCGGGTAGGTTTCAGCGAAAGAGAGGGCCCGGGCTTCAGCACACTGACCCCAGTCCAGCCTCCCAGGCTTCTGTTGCAGGATGCTAAGGAGCACAGAGCTGCTGGGCATGGGCAGGTAGTGAGGAAGTGCAGGGAGGATGCTGATAACACCGTTTCCAGAGTTTCTGTTCCTCTGCCTGGCTTGGCTGTGGCAGGCCAGGGAGGGGCTGCCTGGCAGAGTTCGGGAAGGACAATGGTCAGGGCTTCCCTGTGCAGTCCTTTCGACAAACACAGGATATCCTGGCTGGGCAGGAAAGGTCCACGCAGGATGTGTGTCTGACCTGGGTTCCACCTGGGAGTTTCAGTGGATCCTGAAGGCCTCCACCCTTCACTGTTTTAATTCTGGGTAGATCTGTTCCTGTGGAGTACACACGCGTGCATGCACACACACACACACACACACACACACACATGCACAGACAACTATTTCCCCCCCTTCTTCAATGGGTAATTTGGCCTGCTCCTGAATTAGCCACACCTCCCACACTGTGACTGTATATGGCTATTAAAAAACTGGAGGTCAGTTTACTGGCTATTAAGTGGCACACTTAACACTGATTTGAATGGTGAGAACTTTCTGTTTAGGGAATAGAAAAACTGAAGTTGGTCCATGCTTCAGGTCCTCTTGCTATTCTGAGAAGAGAGGGCCAAGAACCTGGTGGCCTCTGGCATGCTGAGAGGGCAGACCAGAAAGATCCCTCTGCCTGTACCCAGCTATGTTTGTCCCTCTCCCCCATGTCTGCAAGTCCCTCTTCTGTTTACCACCCTGCCTCACTTCTCAGTGGCTAGCCTGACTTGGGGGAACTTAACTGCTCCAGGATGACCTACCTCCTGACACCAAGATAAGGTCCACAGCATGGAGTGCTAATTCGGAACTAGAGAGAGGCTATGAAGACCAAATCAGGGCAGGCAGGCTTTTGCTGGGGGAAGGGGAAAAGGGAGGAAAGGGGTCTGGGGATGGGTTCAGGAGAATTGGAGAGTTTTGCTAAAGACTGTTGGGATAAGCTGGGTAATGACAGTTCACTTATGGTTAAGCATGTGCTTATTATTAGCAAACTGTATGCTCTCCTCAGTGAAATGTCTGGTTGTGTTTGTTTTTGATTATGGAGTTGTGAGAATCTTTATGCATTCTAGAGACTAGTTATGTGTCAGATACATGGCTTGCAAATATTTTCTCCCAGGTGGTAACTTGTCTTTCATTTTCTTAACAGAGTCTTTTGCAGAAAAAAAAGTTTCTAATTTTGGTAAAGTCCAACGTGTTCATTCTTCTTGTCATGGATCATGCTTTTAGTGTCAAGTATATGAATTCTTCACCCTGCCCCTAGGTCCCAAATATTTTCTTCTATGGTTTCTTGTAAAAATTTTATAGTTTTATTTTTTACAACTTAAGTTTATGATCTGTTTTGAAGTAATTTTTGTATAAGATGTGGTTAGGTTAAGGTTCATATTTTTGCTGAAGGGAATCCAATTGCTCTAGCACTATTTGTTAAAAGGACTATCCTTCCTCTACTGATTGCTTTTGCACTTTGTCAAAAGTCAGTTGTCTGTACTTGTATATGGCTATGTCTGAGTTTTCTATTCTGTTCAATCGACCTACATGTCTATTTCTCTGTCAATACCACATAGTCCTGATTACTGTCTCTATAGAGTTAGGCTTGAAATTGGGTAGAGTGATTCCTCTTTTTTTCTTTTTCAAAATTATTTTAGCCATTCTAGCTCATTTGCCTTTCTTTATGAGTTTTAGAATAATCTTGTCTATATCTACAAAAAGTCTTGCTGGAATTTTGAGTGTCTTGCCAATGGGTTTCAGGCCTGAACAAGTTCACTATGGATTCAATGAGACCAAAAAATAATAATAGAACATTCTTGGGGTGAAAGGGTTTATACCTAACTTTATTCTCATGGTGGCAAGTCAGTCATTAGAATCCCGTCCACTCAGAGCGACTCTGTATGCAGCAAGCTGGTCTCTGCCTCAAGGCCCCTCTGCCCCCGCAGCCGTCTCAGTCTCTGTGCTCAGTGCTGCCACCACTCCACTCTCGCTCTCCTGCAGCGTTGTAGCCCTGCAGCTGTGCAGCAGCCCAGAGCGCTGGGCAGAGCTTTTATATAGAGGCAATATCAACGTATTGCCCACACATGTGTAGTGAGCTACCAACCAGGGCCAGGTGAGAATCCTGGCCACAGGAACCTTCATTTTATCCACATTAATTCTCTCCAAATTGATACAGTTTTAACTCAACTCCTTTCTGTGGATAAAGTGAAGGTTCCTGTGGCCAGGATTCTCACCTGGCCCTGGTTGGCTAGCTCACTACACACATGTGGGCAATACTTTGCTATTTACTCTATATAGAGCCCTGCTCAGTGCTCTGGGCGACACGGTGGCACAGATGCAAGGCTGCAGGAGAGCAGAGCAGAGGTTGGAAGTAGTGGCAGTACTGAGGACAGAGGCCAAGAGGATAGCTGTGCAGGCAGAGAGGCCCAAAGGCAGAGACCAGCTTGCTGCATGCACACTCGCTCTGAGTGGACTGGATTCTAGTGATTGACCTTCCACCATGGAAATAAAGTTGGGTATAACCCTTTCACCACAAGAACGTTCTACTGTCATTTCTTTGGCCACACTGAATCCATAGTGAACTTGCCTGGGCTGAAACCCACTGGCAAAACAATTAACCTCTTATGATGTTGAGTCTCCAAATCTGTGAACACAGGATGTTTCTCCATTTATTTAGATCTTTGATTTCTTTCATCAGCATTTTTGTAGTTTTGTAGTGTCCTATAGCATTTTCTAGTGTCTGAGTGTTATATGTGACTTTTTAGATTTATACCTAAATATTCTTTTTTTTTGAGCAATTATAAATGGTGTCATGTTTTTAATTTTGGTGTCTGTCTTGCCAATGTGTTTCAGCCCCAGGCAAGTTCACTATGGATTCAGTGAGACAGAGGAATGGCAGTGGAACATTCTTGGGATGAAAGGGTTTATTACCCAGCTTGTTTTCCCAGCAATAGGTAGAGCACTAGACTTACCTATGCATCCAACAGTCCGCAGGTCTGTAACCCTCCCTCGTCTCTGCCTCCCCCAAGAGCACTGGGCGGAGCTCTTTATATAGTGACTCAATCAATAATAGCTCATTGCCTGAGGGTGTGGGAGCAGTAGCCTAGCAGCAGGCCAGTTACATCATCAAGTAGTTTAGGTTCAGGTGAGGATCCTGGCCATAGGAACTTTAATTTTCCCCAAAACTTCTCTAAGCAACTATTTTTTTATTAAGGTATGACTGATATACACTCTTATGAATGTTTCACATGTAAAACATTGTGCTTACTACATTCATCCATATTAGCAAGTCCCTCCCACACCCCAATGCAGTCACTGTCCATCAGCATACTAAGATGCCACAGAGTCACTACTTGTCTTCTGTGTGCTACACTGTCTTCCCCATGACCTCCCCCATGCCATGTATACTAATCATAATGCCCCTTAATCCCTTTCTCCCTCCCTCCCCACCCACCTTCCCCCACCCCTCCCCTTTGGTAACCACTAGTCCATTCTTGGAGTCTATGAGACTGCTGTTGTCTTGTTCCGTCAGTTTTGCTTTGTTGTTATACTCCACAAATGAAAGAAATCATGTGGTACTTGTCTTTCTCCAACTGGCTTATTTCACTCAGCATAATACCCTCTAGCTCTATCCATGTTGTTGCAAATGGTAGGATTTGTTTTCTTCTTATGGCTGAATAATATTTCATTGTGTATATGTACCACCTCTTCTTTATCCATTCATCTACTGATGGACACTTAGGTTGCTTCCATATTTTGGTTATTGTAAATAGTGCTAAGTTAAACATAGGGATGCATATGTCTTTTTGAATCTGAGATCTTAGGAGTGGAATTCCTGGGTCAAATGATATTTCTATTTTAGTTTTTTGAGGAACCTCCATATTGCTTTCCACAACGGTTGAACTAATTTACATTCCTACCAGCAGTGTAGGAGGGTTCCCCTTTCTCCACATCCTTGCCAGCATTTGTTGTTGTTTGTCTTTTGGATGGTGGTCATCCTAACTGGTGTGAGGTGATATCTCATTGTGGTTTTAATTTGCATTTCTCTGATGATTAGTGATGTGGAGCATTTTTTCATGTGCCTGTTGGCCATCTGAATTTGTTCTTTGGAGAATTGTCTTTTCATATTCTCTGACCATTTTTTAATAGGGTTATTTGCATTTTGGGTGTTGAGCCATGTGAGTTCTTTATATATTTTGGATGTTAACCCCTTGTCAGATATGTCATTTACAAATATATTCTGCCATGGGTCTTGTTTTTTTATCCATTTAGTTACTCTATGTCTTTTAATTTGTGCATTCAGACCATTTACATTTAGGGTGATTATTGATAGGCATGTACTTACTGCCATTGCAGCCTTCAGATTTGTGGTTACTAAAGGTTCAAGGGTAACTTCCTTACCACCTAACAGTCTAATTTAACTCACTTAATATGCTATTACAAATACAATCTAAAGGTTTTTTTTTCCTCCTTTTTCTTCCTCATCCATTCTTTATATATTAGGTATCATATTCTGTACTCTTTGTCTATTCCTTGACTGACTTTGGGGGTAGTTGATTTGATTTTGCATCTGCTTAGTAATTAATTGTTTCACTTTCTTTACTGTGGTTTTATTTCCTCTGGTGACAGCTATTTAGCCTTAGGGATACTTCCATCTATAGCAGTCCCTCCAAAATATACTGTAGAGACAGTTTGTGGGAGGTAAATTCTCTCAGCTTTTGCTTATCTGGAAATTTTTTAATTCCTCCTTCAAATTTAAATGATAGTCTTGCCAGGTAGAGTATTCTTGCTTCAAGGACTTTCTGCTTCATTGCATTAAATATATCATGTCACTCACTTCTGGCCTGTAAGGTTTCTGTTGAGAAGTTTGATGATAACCTGATGGGCTTTCCTTTGTATGTGATCTTTTTTCTCTCTCTGGCTGTTTTTAATACTCTGTTCTTTTCTTTGATCTTTGCCATTTTAATTATTATATGTCTTGGTGTTGTCTTCCTTGGGTCCCTTGTGTTGGGAGATCTGTGCACC